ACTAGACTTAAAATTTATCTATTAATACTTACTAAGAACTCAAGTTTGGGGGCTGGGGTTGTGATTCACCAGTAGAGCGCTTGCCTAGCACATGCAAGGCCCTGGGTTCCATCCTCAGCACCACATGCAAATAAATAAATTAAATAAAGGTTTTATGTCCAACTACAACTAAAAGATAAATTTTAAAAATGCTTAAAAAAAAAATACTCAAGTTTGGGCTGGGGTTGTAGCTTAGTGGTAGGGGCTTGCCTGGCATGTGTGAGGCCCCGGGTTCAATCCTCAGCACCACATAAAAATAAACAAATAAAATAAAGGCATTCTGTCCATCTACAACTACAAAAAGAAAAAAAAAAAGAACTCAAGTCCATGCTTCTTTGTTCATCATTTTCAAAATGAAATTAAAGAGTGCAGAAATTTTTTAAAAATGATTTCATTCCTTGTCTAAGACTTGAGCTAATTATTCTTTGCATTCTGCTTGTCTACATCCACTGAAACCCAGTTAAGCTGAGTGGACTACAGCTGAGCACCAAGTTCCAGTGGGGGTGGGAGACTCAAGACTCACCATCCCCCCTCTCTGAGATCAGGAGAGCACAGTGTGGTTAGGAACATGGCTCTGGGCTCAAGTGGAACTAGAATTTAATACAACTCTGCCACTTGTAGACACAATGAGTGCAATAACTCACCTCTGTAGCCCTGTTTTGCCATCTGTACAATGAGGTATTAGGGTACCTGCCTTGAAGGTGCACTGAAAAGTTATAGGATTTGTGAAAAGAGCTCAACATAGTACTTGGCATATAGGGAGTGCTGGGAAGTAATGAGCCACAGCGGGGGAGAGGGAGGTTTTGCAATTCTTAGCCTCTTTAAAAAAAAAAAATGTTTGTATTAGTTATAGATGGGCACAATGCCTTTATTTCATTTGTTTATTTTTTATGTGGTTCTGAGAATCAAACCCAGTGCCTCACACATGCTAGGCAAATGCTCTACCATCTACCACTGAGCCACAACCTCAGCCCAATTCTTAGCCTCTCTACATGGTCTCAAAGAAGGTGTCTTCACCCATCCAATGGCATAGGTACCCTCTGCTAGGCACCAAGACGTGGCATAGGAGGAAGTATTTGATGTGAATTTCTACATCCTCAACATATACCTAGGCCAATATTACCAGGAACAGGGATTATATCATGTGCCCAAGAATAACACATAACTAGGAAGAGGCCGGAGGAGCAGCAGGGTCTCCAAAAATCCTTGGCCTTAGCCAAGGAAAAGAGGCCATGGGGCACTCAGAAACTGCCTGAAAGATGGGCCTAGGCCCAGGCTCACCAAGACCATAGTAGAAGGTGGGAGAGTCCCCAGGGCTTCAGAGAAAGGATCGCATCCCCTCACCCCAAGCTCAGAGGGGCACATTTTGTAATCTCCAGGAAAACTGAGAGCATCAGGTGAAAGGGCTTCTCTTCAGTGGAGTTTAGGGAACCACAACCAAGAGTTACTGCCTTGGACTACTCCCTTCCCCTTGCTCTGCCCTGGCCACAAGAACAAGTGCTCTGCCAATCTTAGCACATGCAGTGGGGCTCATGGTGAATCCCAGGTCATAGTAGGAGGACAGGCAACAGGAGATATAGATGCCTGACCCAGTGGGAGGTTACCCCTGGGACCCAAGGGCTCTTTCCACACTGACGCTCCATGATGCCAACTTTAGGATTCTCTCAGGAGGTCCCATGTGCTACAGTCAGTGGAATGGGTATGGTACATGGAGGCAAATGTCCTCACATTGCTCTCCCTGTGCTAGAATGCACCCAGATACTAGAGGGCATCCATTCATATATTCTGTGCTCAAAAAAATCTCAGGATGGAAACTCAGAACAAAATGGCTGCTAATAACACTATTACTGGGCTGGGATTGTGGCTCAGTGGCAGAGCGTTTGCCTCACACGTATGAGACCCTGGGTTTGATCCTTGTACCACATAAAAATAAATAAAATAAAGGTATTGTGTCCATCTACAACAACAACAACAAAATTTAACAAACAAAAAAAGCACTATTACTGCACCCAGGGATGAATGTTGCCTTCTACCCAACCTCAGCATACTCCTGCCCAGAGCTCTGACACAAATCATCCTTCCTCTCTCACTTGATCTTAGCCAAGAGGCCAAGAAGTGATTCATCCTCCCTCTCCATGCTTCACTTTCCTTAAAACTAGGGATGATAACTGTTGTGATGGGGGTTAAGTAAAGGGAGTACACTGTTTGACATATCAATGAGGGCCTATTGTTCCTCTGATCCCTGTGTAAGCTCCTGGTTTACAGAACAAAAAAACGTAAAGAAAAGGATGCAGCAGTGGGTGGCCAAAGGCCAAATGACTCAACCAGGCATCCCGGAGTCCACAGATGCCCTGAAATTCACCCATTCATTCTTTTTTTTTTTTTTAAATATTTATTTTTTAGTATTTGGCGGACACAACATCTTTGTATGTGGTGCTGAGGATCGAACCCGGGCCGCACGCATGCCAGGCGAGCGCGCTACCACTTGAGCCACATCCCAGCCCCAAACCCATTCATTCTTAACGGGCCTCTGTAACTACTGGCCTAACCAAGGTCAAGCCCTACACGGGGAACCAGGAATGCCAGGACAAATGAGACCTTGCCACTGCTTCCAGGAAGAGACACCTACTTAGTGATAGAGGGCTGGGCAGGCCCTCTTAATACAGCCTGAGGGGTTTAGGGCAGGATTCCCAGAGAAGCGGACGGAATAGGTCTGGGAGGATAACAAGATGACCAGGGGAAGCTGGAAACAGTCTATGCAGAGGACTCGCTTGCGCAAAACACAGAAAGGAAAGAAAGCAGAGACCAGTCCTGGGTGGCGTCAGAAGACAAAGGAGGGCATCGATTTCACAGCAAGGGCTGCGCAGACGATTTGCTGAGAAGTTGATGATTACATAGCACAGCCGAGGGGCTCCTGATCTTTATTTCCCAGAGAATCTCCAATTCTCCTTGGAATGCTTCAAGAACCTCGCTTTCCTACAGTGCCCTGGGCTAGACCGAGATCAGCCGCAGCAAATCTATAGGGGTCGGTCGCTAGGCAACAGGCCACACCCCCAGCCGAAGCTGCGCGCCCTCTCCTGGCAGCGCCCTGCTAGTGTATCTGGCGTAGGAGGATGAGACTGGGCTGCTTTCCAAAATATTCTTCTGGCTTAGAGGTAAAGCTGTTTGGAAAGAGCAATATGCCACTGGACGCTAGTCCCTCTACTTTTCACACTTTTATGCCTGAACCTGGCTGACTACTCTCCAGGATCTAGGCTGGGCCAGCCAGTGAGGGAGAGCCTGGGAAAGTAGGCAGCTAGGATGTTTGGTCCTTATTCTAAGATCAGCAGGGAGCCACGCAAGGCTTGTGAGTAGGGTAGCATACTGAACACATCTGATCTTCCAGTGCTTGTGCTGTTGCTGCCAGAGGAGCAGGACATTCTAGGAGCATGGGGTAGTGACCAGTAGGCCAGGGCCAGCACTAGGGCAGGCTGCTACCCCAGTCTTTTCACCCCAGAATCCAGGAAAGTTACTGAGCCATGTCTGAAGGTTCCTCAGATCATTTACCTATAGAACTGAGGAGCCCTCTCCTTCCTAGAGCCCTTGGTAGGGGCTCCTACTACAGATGCATCTTCAGAAGGCCAAAGCCTCCCCTTTCCAAACCCCTCCTAAACACCCATTTCCTTACACTGGTCTGGAATGGTGTAGTCCATGTAGTTAATAATTGTCTCATAATTCCGTGTGTGTGTTGATCATAAGTGGGAAAACAAGTTTATTGATGAATGCAGACTGGATGAAAAATGTAGAGCCTAAGGAAACTTAAAAAGTAGGGTCACTGACACAGTCCCTTGCTATCATAGAGTATAGCCACCTTGCTACTGACAGGTGTGGGACTCAGTTAGTAGAGGGAGGCCATGCAGAATCAAAGGCAGGTGTTTTCCCACTCTCCAAGGGTCCAGTAATACAGGACCAGCACTGGGCAAGCCGAGAGCTTCAGCCCCCAAGTCAGGCTGTCTAGGATCATCAGGCCAGGCTGAAGCCTGTGCCCATCTAAGGGCTCCACAGTCCCGCCTTCACCCAGCTGAAAGCACTTTGTAAAGCATTGTCTGAAGAATTCCCATGATGGTGCCTACCTAGTGCCTTCCAACAAAATGGACCCCAGCCCTGCACCCCACCATCACAGTGGTGTTGACAGAAGTTAAGGGTACTGCTTCTCAGAATCCTCTTTAGGACCTGGGATGATGCTTGGATGGCCCTACCCACAAATGACATCAAGGTCACCAGCCTGCTCTCCTGCATGCCAGCCCTTCCCTGCCCCTCACCATGGAATGCCTGGCTCCAGCTCCCTCCTGCACCCCACTGCAAGTACCCATCTCTTCCCTCTTTGCCTCATTCTTGCTCGTTAAGGTGTAAGACCTCAACTCCACCAGAAGGCTTTCTGACCATGCCCATGGCCCCTCCACCTTGCTGTTTTGTATGGCTGCCCCCAGAATGTCTGTCTTTCCCACTAGATGCCATGTTTCTCATGGGTAGAGCTGGAGACTGCCAGGTCCTGAATCCAGTTGAGCACAGGATGTTTTCTAAATAAAGGAAAAATGAAACTGAGGGAAGAGGTTTAGGACAACATAACAGAATGGGATTAAGTTCTATTTTTTAAGACCATGTCCCTTTGTAGAAACCATGAAAAACCCTGGATAAAAGAAACTAAAAGAAATCTTTACTTTTGGTGTGTTTTTATATCAGATTTCCTTAAAAGGTCTTCACTGCTTAAAATCATAGTAGTAATAATAAAGTTGAGAAATCTACCAGCCTGCCCCTCTCCCTGCTGGTAACTACGGTCAAGAAAGACGGAGGCAGACTAGAGAGGCATTTGCCTAAGCCAGTGACAGGCCACGAACAGGACATGCATCTCCTGACCAGGCTTCTGCCTATCACAGCCTCCCTCCATGAGAGTAAAGAGAGAATAAAACTTTCCACAGGGATTTCCACTGCTTATTTTATTTCAAACAGCCAACTGTCCCCAGAGAAGAAACTGCTGATGACCTAGACGATTTGGCTGCAGCACTCTCCTGAGAACTGCACAAGTGCTATGAGCTGCCTACTATAAAAGCATTCAGTAGTAAAACTTTAACAGATTTTTTTAAACCAAAAATGAGGCCTACAAAGGCTTAAACTCTATGGAGGGGAAGTGAAGCTACCCAGTGGTCCGGGTGCTTACAAGCAATAAACCCCTGGAGAAGGCGCCATGGGCAACAGCCAGGCAAAGGTGGGACGCTGCAGAACCTGCTGTCAACACCCCAGCCCTGGCTGCTCGCATCAGCCACCTGGATGGGCTGGATGCCTGATGTCTGCAGTGCCCAGTCCTGGGGACCAAGCAAAGGTGACAAAAGGCTGAAATAGATGGTACCTTCTGTCCTGAGTGGGGCCTGAGGAAATCAAAGGCCGCACCTGGGGATGACACGATAAACAACACAACCCAGGACGGTTAAATTCATTCCTAAACATGAGCTTCCCTGCCCCTACTCCTCAGAGCCCGAGCCTCCCGTCAATAACCTCCTCCACAACCCTCGTCAACCCCACAGCTCAGGATCAAGAGAACATTAGAAATCATTCTCCTTCCTCCTGTCTTCAAATGGAAATTAGCTGCCACCTTACAGTGGTCGAGACCCTTCCTCCCTAAACGACACTGAAAACAGACAAGAAAATCATTGCTGGCACACCCCTGACACCCCCTGCTGGTCTGGAGAGTGGCCTGCGGCTTAGTCAGACTGCTCCTGAGACGAGGGCTGACTGGGCTCACAAGGTACCTCTGCATCCTGGTCATCTGTAAAGGACAAAAAAGGAAACCAGATTTAGAAAAGAGGGAAGAATTACCTGTTCTCAGAAGCAGGTTTTCTCATTGTTCTCATCCCTATGGAGAGAGAGTCTGCCCTTCATTTGCTAGGCGGGGAGATTGGCACATTAACCTGACCATGGTACAGTCCAGTTCTAACTCCAGCTCTGCCCCTCACAAGCTGGGTGGTTAAGCAAGGTTCTTCCACAGGTCCTAAGCTCAGCCAGCCCTTCCGTAAAATGAGACACTTACCTTGCAATAGCAGCATGGAGACTAGAAGAGACAATAAGCTCACTGCCACTAGTGCTTCAGGTTCGGCTCCAACCCCAGAATAGCCTTATGAAGTAGGGACCATTAGCAGTCCCTCTTGCAATTGTAGAAAATGAGGCACCAAGAAACAAACACATTAATCCAAGGTCAGACAGCTGATAAGTGCTAAAGCCAGGACTCAGGCCCAGGCCACCTATACTGGCCAGCAAGCTTCAGGCCACTCTATATCAGCTCATGTATCTAGGCATCGCACACACAGAGGAGGCCTGTCTCCTCTTCAGTGACGTGGAGAGAATAGCACCAGACTTACCCAGCTCACAAGATGGTTCTGAGAGTCATTTTAAGACTTCCTTGAGTCTACCAGTCTTTTCAAACTACAGGAGGCTCGGGGAAGATTGAAAGGAAGAAAGTCCTAGAACCATTAAAGGGTCAAGGGCTCTCAAAAGAAATCTCAAAGTATTTTGAATCCAAATGATCAGTGGATCCTCCAAGGGACCATGTTATAGTGAGAAGAGGGGCCAAGCACCCAAGTTTCCCTCATAGTGGCTACTGCTGCACTCCAGGTTCAGTCTCTGCTGTCCCTGCACAGGTCCTACTCCAGCCAAGAGCCCCAGCCCCTCTGGCTTGCTGAGCACATCATGGGCATTCATCCTCTGCACCCTGCCTACGGTGCTTATAAGGTAAGGAATTAGCACTGGACTCGAGCCAGGAAAAGCCCTGTTCTGATCCTCTGCCCCAAGAACCTCAGTGTCTTCACCTGGAGAATCCTGTTCCCACCTCCCTTAGATGCATGCTGTGGAGACTGGGGGAAGAGCTTATCTCAGGGCCCAGCCAAGTTCAAATCCTGTATCCCATGTCACCTCTCCCCACACGCACTTCACATGGTTTCCTCCTCTTCCTCTAGTTTCCTGGCTCTCCTAGAAGCAGGAAGACTAGTGCTCACTTACCAGTGCTCTCCTTGTCGGTATCAGAAAGGAGGGTAAGTGAGAAGGTTGGTGGTGGCGGTGGTGGTGGTGGAGGTGGGAGGAAGTGCAGCGCAGAGAGGAAGCCTGGTGGGAGGAACTGCAGCTGAGGCGGAGGTGGAGGTGGGGGTGGTGGAGGGGGCAGGTAGTAGCTTGGCTGGAAGTCTCCCATTGGTTCCGACACCTGCATGGTGCATACAGCAGAGGCAGACAGGGAGCTGGTTAGTCAGGAGGGGTTCCCATGGGCAGAAACACCTCTGTGATCTAAGACACTCAGTGAAGGACCCTTGGAACAGGGTGTTCAGCAAACACCTCCCTCGTAAGTGAAGGCAAGAAGGAATGCAGGCACCTCTCACATAAGCCTGGGGACCTGCTGAGCACAGCACGGACTGAGCCCTTCTGTATGTGCCCGGGGTACCACACTTAGATCCCTACACACCCCTAGGAGGTTCTGTTACCATTCTGGTCATACCAGTGAAAAACAGGTTCAGTGAGAGGATGCCACAGGGCCAGGGCCACAGAGCAGGTCAGTGGCAAAGACAGAACTGGATCCCAAGTCTGTGACTGCACAGCCTACTCAGCTGACCACGGTGCTGTAGAAAGGTCTGAAGGCCCCCTTGCCTGACACGTAATGGCTGCTGCCTAAGTGTGTGTGTTTGTCGGGGTGCGGGGGCAGGTTGAGGGAAAGTTTTCAGCAACCTGGGTGTAGCCAGGTGTTTCTGAGGCAAGGGAAGCTGGGGGACCTCAGACAAGGAGCTGCACTGAACAGCTCTGCTGTACTCCTGCTCCTTTTTCAGTAGAGGGGAGCTGAGCCCACCCTACAGCACCCAGACTCAATGAGATGAATCCTACAAGATACTGTTCTTAGTCAAGTTTGAGAAACCCCACCTATACGGCTCTTCACATGGGAGGGCCACATGTGAGTGTATTTATAGCTCTGGGTAGTTGTAAGAGTCTCCTTAAGATTGCTGGACATGGTGGCGCATGCCTGTAATCCCAGTGACTTGGGAGGCTGAGGCTCTCAGCAACTTAGCGAGACCCCTTTCTCTTAAAAAAAAAAAAAATGCTGGGGATATGAGTCAGTGGTTAAGTGCCCCTGGGTTCAATCCCTGGTGCCAAAAGAAAAAAGAAAGAATCTCCTTAAATTAAGCCACAACTTCCTAACTTCATTTGGCCACAAGGAAAAAGAAAAATCCCTGCTGCAAGGCACCTACTATGTGCCAAACCCTGTGTAAAGACCCTAGGCATACCTTATTAAACCCAATTATGGGATAAGTACTTCCACCACCCTTTGACAGCCAAAGAACTTAAGTGAGGTGCTTAGAGGTCAGGAAACCTCCCCAGGGAAGACAGCTGGAAAAGGGCCAAGGCAGGGTGGTGCCCGAGATCTGTCCAACTCAGATCCTGTGCTCTCTAGGAGTCTCTAGGAAACAGCAGGTGGGCAGGGACAGGGAGAACAATGTCCCTGGGGGAGTGTCTCAAGTGGGTACAGAGGGCAATAAGTAAAAGTAATCCACAGACTCTTAGGTTTGAAACAGCCTCCCAAATAAATGCTTGATCCTTCTCCAGATATGAAGGGTGGGAGGGGGATTATTAGTGCTTTAATTCCAAGCTGCTCAGCCAAGTCTCCCCCTGGATCACAGCTCCTGCCTGGGGCCTGTGGTGGCAGCTCAAACCAGATAAACTGACTGAGATCACACTCTTAACAAAAGCCGTCTGGCAGAGCTGTCAATCAGAGTCCTGTCCTGGACGCCAGTCTCCAGGCTTCTGTGTGAACAGACGGCGAAGAGCTGCTTGGCCACAGCCCCTCTTTGTGTGGAGGCTGGGGACACCCTGCTCTCTCTGGGCTGTGATGGGGTGGCCAGAGGCAGCACCCACATCTCTCAGGTTGGACAGCCAACAGTGGTATGAGGGTCAAGATCGAGGCCTTCTCCCACCTCTGTAGGAAACACATAGGCAGCAGAAAGCACCTGGGCTCCAGAGTCAAGGCAACTGTGGCAAGTGTCCTGGGTGAATCACCAACCAGTTGCATCACCTGAGTCACAGTACCTCATTCATCAGTCCTGTGGACAAAATCTTAACTTTTCTGAATCCTTTCCCTGACTCTACAAAGTGGTTAAAAACACCAGCCTTGAAGGTTCACATAGGGTCAGTAGGCACCCTGGAAATTATCAAGACCAGTGGTTTTCAAACATTTTTCCCTTGAGTCAATGGAAAATGACTTACAAATAAAAATTTACAGTATCTAAAACAGACAGAAGAGGTGCTGATGAACTGAAGCAGGAATGAGGACCAGCATGCTATGTGCCTGACCTGGCTACACACAGCTGGATCCTAGGCACCATGTCCCACACTCTGGCTAATGACTTCCACTACATAAATACCAAGTTTTGTCTTCCTTCTTCATTCCTTTCCATAGTAAACAAAGAAATCCTCACTCATTTCCACCCTCCACTTTAAAATACATCTTCACAGATATCTATGGTCCATGGTTATTAGGCTTTAAACTCTGAGCTGGGAGGCAAAGGCAATGGTGTTCCCTATTTCCATGAAGTTGCTTTGTGTTTGTGCCAAATTGGTCCACAGGTCCAGCCTTATGGGACCAAAGTCAGGGCTGGTCACCCAGCCTACCCTGTTCTGCAGTCCTAATGACCCTCAGAGGCTGACATAATGAAAAGGTTTTTTGTTTTTTTTTCAGTTGTAGATGGACACAATATCTTTATTTTGTTTATTTTTTTTTTTATGTGGTGCTGAGGATGGAACCCAGGGCCTCACGTATGCTAGGCAAGCACTATACCGCTGAGGCACAACCCCAGCTCCTGGAGAGGATTTTTAACTATTCTGGTCTGCAGAGAGTTGGTATGCAAGGCCACAAACTTGGTTGTTCCCTCCTCTCATTCCATATAACAGGGGTGACCTGACATCCTATATTCAAAATGTCAAGCTTAAGGAAGATACCAGTTAGTAACTAACCATTAATCTTAGAAAAGGACTGAATATCATTCATTCTTTCTACAAGTGTTTCCTAAGGCAACAGGTGCTTGGGGGAAGGTTTCTGTATTTTTCATGACTCAGTTGTCACCTCTTCCTAAAAGCCCTCTGCAGTTTCAAATGTGCTATACCTGTGGTCAGGGGACCTACATCTGGTACTAGCTTTGCCATTAGCTTTGTAGGTTTAGAGAACTGGCATTTCTTTTCTGGTGTTCAGCAGGATGAAGGCCCTTCTAGCATCTGCATGCCATGAGTCAAGGCAAGTGGTCACCCCAGTCTCCCTTACTCTGAAAATACCTGCCGCTGCCCCAGGTCCAGTGATGCAGATCTCCCAAGGGAGGCATATCATTTATGACAACAAGCTTCCTGGAACTGAGGACCCATAAAGGCAGCAAGAGCAGCTGGAGTAAGGAGGACTCTGGGATGGATCAGGGCTGGGACTCACCAAGCCACCTCCATGGTAATGGCTGCAGGAGACATGCCGGAAGCCCCGTTGTGGGGGGATTCCTGGGGCTGGGGATGCATCCTGGTAGCCCAGTGGGAATGGGAGATAGGAGTGCATGGTGGAGCATCCAGGGTACAGCTTGGAAGGCTCTCGCTCCAGGTACTCAGCCCCTACCACACAATCCGAGTTGATGCTCAAAGGGCGCCCTGAAGAAGGCAATGGACAAGGGAAATTTAGAAACACAGCCGGGAAAAGGAGCACCACATTACTGTCCAAGGATAACAATGTAATAAACACATCTCTACAAAGAAGGCTCACATTCTTTATGCTTTGATCTCACTGCTCTTTAGTCCTCCAACCACTGCTCCTCCATCCATCTCAAGTTTTTTGCAGATGCTCCTCCCTTGACTTTTCCTCCTAACCTCACTTTGCATCCTTAAGTCCACAGTACAGACAGTCCCTGATTTACCATTTTTCATTTTACAATGGTGCAAATGTGATATGCATTGAGTAGAAACCATACATCCGATTTTGTTTTGTTCCCGAGCCAGTGATATGCAGTAAGATACTCTTTTGAGATGCTGGGCAGCAGCAGTGAGTCACAGCTTCCAGACATCTAAGGGATCACCAGGGGAAACACTCTACAGTGGTCTGCCTTGCTAAGCTAGGTTATGCACAGTAAATACATTGTAATGTAGGATATTTTCAATTTACCATGGGGTTATCAGGACATGACCCCATCAAAAGTTGAGGAGCATATGTATTCAGCTCTTCCTTCAGGCCACAGCTAAATCACCAATTATCAGAGCTCTATACACTGATATGTGTGAGTGTATTGTCTATCAATATTGTCCCTCCCACAAAGACAGAATCCCTAAAGAGAAGGAAATGTGACTCCCTTCTCCCCACCTTTCCATGTCACTAGTGTTGGGGGAATACATTGTAAGTATTCAATTCTTGTTTGTTGAGAGATGGTAAAAAAAGACATCCTATGTCCTTGAAAAGGTCACCTTCCCTAGGATTGTTGTTTCAAGTCTATCTTCTCCATTATAGCTAGGACCTTGGAGACCTGTTTTCTTAGAAATTGGCTCAGGAGGCTAAGACAGGAAAATCATGAATTTAAGGACAATCTCATCAATTTAGCCAGACCCTGTCTCAAAAAAGTCAAAAGGACTGGGGATGTAGCTCAGTGGTAGAGCAACCCTGGTTATTATCCCCAGTACTGAAAAAGAGAGTAAAGGGAAAAAGTGCCAGAAGGCAGAAATGATCTCCATGGAGCACCCAGACCAATTCCTTAGCATACAGAGGGAAGAAACTGTCACAAGAAAGGAACTTGTCCAAGCTTACTGGCTTCCCATCCTCTTGATTCATACCCGTGCCCTTTCTACACTGGCATAGGCAAAGTACCAAGAAAGTCTATGTCTATATATAAAAAAAAAAGCCGTTTTCTAAGCCTCAAATTTTGGCTTGAAATTATACTTTAATACTGAAAGTAGCACAAGGGAAAAATATAAATTATGCACAAGATGAGGGTAGAAAAAAGAAGCAACATCTCAGTATATCAAATGTTCTATTGTGCAGAGTACTGTGGCCTTAGGGCCACGGCTGACACCCAGGGAAATTGCGGGAACAGATGCACAGAACCCTGCAAAGAGCCCCTAGACTGTGGAGAGGAGGAAGGTGCGCAAGCGCAAGCCTAGTCGAGCCAATCCACCCACGGGTTTTAAATCCTGAAGGAGCCTCCGCGGAGAAAAATGGCGGGAAGAGCCACCAGGCGAGCTGCGCTTGTACAACTCTTCCAGACTGGAGACAAGAGGCGCGCAAGCGCAGTAGGACAGGTTTCCTACGGAGTGGGGACAGAGACGCCACGGCTGAGTCGGCCAGGCGCCATTTTCCCCTTGCAAAGTGAAAAGGCAAAAAAACTGCGGCTAAATGTTAAAAGTCCCCAGGATCACCCACTCCTTCCCGTCTCTTTTATCCTTTTAATACAAAGATATCCCGCCTGAATCCCTGTTCAGAGAAAGGTTTCTCAAAGCAGGGTTACCCCTGGAAAGCATTTTCCCCTCCTGAACCCCTACTCCGGGCGGCCTAGGCCGCCAGCTCAGGAGCGGGAAGACCACAGTCCCGAGAGCAATCACGGCGGGGCAAGGCCGCGCGGGGCCTGGGAATCTTACCGAAGTCGGCGAACGGCGGGCTGGGCAGAAGCCTCAGCGGCCGTCGCAGCTCCGGGCGGCCTGGGCACGCCCTGCCTGCGGCCTCGGCCCCGAGCTGGGGCGGTGCACAGCTGGGCAGCCCCACGTGGCCGTGGCCGCGTCCGCGGCCACCCAGCACCGGCTGGAAGGCGCTCGGGCCGGGGCTCGGGCCGGGGCTCGGGCCTTGCGGAGGCCTCTCTGGGAAGCAGGTGGCCGCGCGGCCTTCGGGGCCCGGCCCCGCGCCTCCGGAAACAGCTAGTGGAGGCAGCGAGCGGAGGCCAGAGCCCACGGCTGCGGCTGCAGCCCCGGAGGCCAACTGAGGACCCTTCGGGCTCAGGGCCGCCTCCTGCTCCTCCTCGGCGGCCTGCTTCTTGAGCACCTTCTGAGCAGCCATGATCTTCTGGCGCTCGGTGATCAGGTAGCACTTCTCGCAGGTGCACTGCTTCCAACGGCACTTGCCCGCATGGCCCTTGACCGGCACCAGGAAACCATGGTTCCGGCACCTCGAGCATTTCGGCGTGCGCAGCATCTTGTCCGCCAGCTTGGCAAGGTCTGCCTTCATAACACAACCGCCACCTCTGGGAGCTGCAGAGCGAGTGGAGCAGGGATAAGCGGCGCCCCACAAGTCTCTGGTGCTGGGGACATTGGATACACTTGTAACAAAACGGCTCTCAGTATGTCTCGGGAACTGCAGCAAGACTCTTGCATTTTCCCTCCCTTTTTTGGGTGCAAAATTTGGAGAATTTCTGTGTCTTGGATAATTAGGTGCAAGAGATTGGGCTGAATAAATTCGAAATGGAATGCTATTGCATGTATGTCATCTGAGTTATCTGAAGTCTTAGGCACTTAATTTTTCAAACTTTCTATTCCCGCCATCCGGTAGATGGAAGGTATTCTGGAGAGAAAAAAAAAGAGGGGGAGCGATATTCAATGATCCACAGATTTAAAATTCCTGAAGAATTTAAAAATTCAAACCATTTACATTTAACTCTCAGTAAACCCATTAAAGTAGAAAAGCAATGGAAGAGGTAAACCGTTTTTCTGTTCCCCAAAGTAGCTGCTTCTGTTTTATTTCATTTATTTCCCTTGTAGAGAAGCCAGTCAGTAGTGAGGTTTCCAGAATGTTCTCAGGCATTCAGTATTGTGATGATTGCTCAAGGGTGTGCTCTTACAGAAATTCTTATTTCTTAAGTTGTAGGCATAGGAATGCATTTCTGAAAGATGGTGTATTGCTGTTATTGATGCCTTCCAAAGTAAAGCATACTCAGAATGTTTTGAAATACCCGGTGGAATCCCAGTAGCTCAGGAGGCTGAGGCAGGAGGATTGCGGATTCAAAGCCACTCTCAGCAATTTAGTCACACTGTAAGCAACCTACTGAGATCACATCTCAAAATTAAAAAAAAAAAAAAGGCCAGGGCTGGAGATGTGGCTTAAGGCCCCCTGGGTTAAGCACCCCTGGGTCCAATCCCACCACCCCCCCCCCCCCCCCCCCCCCCGCCAAAAAAAAGAATGTTTTGAAATAAAATATTTGGACAGTAGCTTCCCTCATGAATTTAGTTATCCTACAAAGCAACACACATCTTGGGGAGAAAACTGGCACAAACATTGTTTACCCAGGGACACTAAATTATTCAAATTCTTTTTGATGGAAATTTGTGGCATCCTGAGGCATTTTCTTCTGGCCCAAAGTGGAGGTGGTAAAATACCTAAGCTGAAAGCTTATTATTATTATAGTCTCAGTCCTTATTCAAGAAGGTAATTATGGTTCATGCCTAGCTAAAACATGCGCATTTTTCATTGCCCTTTCTTTGAAATTTCTTTCTGGTGATAAAAGGTAGGTACCCCATCCTGGGGTTCACCTTGATTTTTCCTGTGTCTCTGATTGCAGCTCTACTTTGCATTTCTCTCCAGCTGCCTGAGAATAGGAAAGAGTTGCCATTCTGAAGCTCATTATACACCAGAAAGGTGAAAAGAGGTTCTTTTTCTCTTTAAAGATGTTTATATTCCTCATCTTAATAAGAGGGCAAAAGTATGTTTCCTGGATTATTTGGTCCATTAGGAATTTTACTGGTAGCTTTGCATCTATTTAAAGAAATCTAGCACTTTCTTTGTTAATTTTATATTTTAAAATATGGCCCATCACATAGGGACAGGCAAGCTCTTTTTCTGACTCCAACCAATTCAAAATGTCTAGTTTTTTCACTTACCTTGTCATATGAAAATGGTACTTAGAAGCTGGGTGCTGTGTATTCCTCCTATAGTCCCAGGAGGCTGAGGCTAGAGGTTTCTTAAGCCCAGAAGTTGCCAACCTGGGTGACATAGCAAGGCCCCAGTCTCAGGGGGAAAAAAAATAGTTGAAAGTCAGTTTCAGTAGTGTTGTCTAAAAATCTCAGGCATAAGCTACATTGTTTCATAATACTGCAGATCATAGGGTCATTTTCTACATTATCAAATTTAAATTTGAAATCAGGTGACATCAGACAACAAGGCCTAAAAAAGAAAACTACTCATTTGCATTTCATGCTTGACCACCCAAGCTCTTCATTTTCTCATTAATGATTTAAAGGAAAATCTTATTCAAAGCAAGCTATTGGCATTAACATTTTTTAGCCTTGTTAAATACAAACTGCTTCTATATTCACTTATTAGCTTTAGGAGTAAAATATACCACCCAAGGTGATATGAATTTTCATAGTGCTTTGAGAACACTAATAAACAACCATATATCTTTTCAATCAGTAGTCACATTATAAGATGCAGAAACCCCAGGGCTTATAAATAAACAAACCTAAGAAGAAGAAAATGACTGGTTTCTCTCTTTCCCCTTAAAGTCTCAATTTGTGTAGGTAAATTTCAACAGAGCATTATTTATTTCACTCTTAGAAATTCAGGCAAATTGATAGTTTTGTTTTTTTTAGGTTGATGGCTGATTACTTTTTAAAATAAATATATTTGCTGTACCTTTCTTTAAATTGTTATTTTTAAAAATGGTGACATGACATGAGTGGGAAATTAGAAGTCAAAAAAGGATGGGAGCCTGGCACAGCTGCGCACACCTGTAATCCCAGCAGCTTGGAGACTGAGGCAGGAGGATCATGAGTTCAAAGGCAGCCTCAGCAAAAGTGAGTTGCTAAGCAACTCAGTGTAGACCCTGTCTCTAAATACAAAAAGATTGGGCTGAGGATGTGACTCAATGGTTGAGTGCCCCAAGTTCAATCCCTGGGACCCCTCTGACCCAAAGCAAAGGATGGGAGCAGTAAGTGCAGAGTGTACCTCTTCCCTCCCTACACCTAAACCTTAGGACACTTGTGTTTAAGAAAGTCTGCCTCATTAAAGGCAGTAGTTACAAAGTAACATGTTGCCATTGCTGAGGAATCCATTTGACTAATTAATCACAAAGGGGCTGCTTGGGGAGGGGTCATAGCTGAGTCTGGACTGCAGGTATGGCCCCTTTTCCTCTCAGGATTCCCAATTTCCTGATGTGTGTCTTCTCTTCAGTTAATAAAACTGCTGTTGGTACTGTTTAATTCATATTTATTTTAAAGAGCCTTGCATTATGCAGTGCATGGGGATATAATTTATAACCATTAAATACTGCATGCACTAGAATGTTTCCTTACTGTAGCACACAAGAATGAGGAAAGGCTTTTTTTTTTTTTTGCCTGTAGCATTTTTCCCCCAGTAGCTATAACCAAAATAGCTGCTCTTTTTCCCTTCTCCAGGCTCTCCAGTGAGCAATGGAAACTTTATTGAAGATTTCTTGGAGAAGGTGGAGGGGAGGATTTACACATCCTTTAGCTGGTGCTTTAAAATCCTACCATAGCATCTCTGTATGTCCAGTTTCTTTCAGCTAAGCCATATCAACTGGAAATAAAGTGGTCTGTCCACTCTACCCCAGGACCCAGGCTCTCTGGTGCCTCTCTCCTATTTTATTTTTATTTTTGTCAGCCTCTGTAGTAAGCGATATGGCTGTCTTATTTTCCTTTATGTCTTGCACAAAATAGACACTCAGTAAATACCTATGGAATGTATAAATGAATTCTGCCTCCATTATCAAAGTTTCTTCCTCTCTGATTATCATAGGAAATCAACTTGGCTTCCCCAAACACATGCAAGCGCTCAGCAAAGCAGAAAGCCCATAATGATTGGCACTGCTCTTACAACATGGAGAATTGGGGGATCAACTTTGGCTCTTTGAGACCATCTCTCAACCCTAATGGTTTAATAATTACAATAATAACAACTAGCACTGATTATGTGTTTATATGTGCCAAAAATTTATAAGTCCTTCACATACATTAATTCATGTAATACTAACAACTATCTAAGGTATGCACTGTCATTATCACCCCCATTTTACACATGAATAACATAACACCCAGAAAATTAAGAACTTTCCAAAATGTCAGAGCCATTAAATGGCAGCACCATGATTCATTAAAAAACTAGAAAATCTGTCATCAAAGTTTAATAATCTTAACCATATATTTGCAAACCCAAACATTTCTTCTCAAGTGCTTTCCCAAGAAGGCTTTAGTGATGAATAGACATGCTTTTCTTATTATATACTTCATTACAGTTGGGGGGATAGGGGGCAAAAGTGGTAGTAACCTGAGGAAACTTCTGAGGATGTCCTGCTTAACTGCATTCCTCTACCTATAGCTGATATTTATTGGGTGTAAACTATGTATGAAACAGGAGGCACACAAAAGTATATAAAAAGACAGTGTCCAGACAAGGAAGTAATTCTAGTGGGATGAAAATTGGAGAGATATTATTGGACCCAGGTCTGGGCTACTCACTACTCAAAAGCCAATACTTGGAAAATAAGAGTTGGAGGGGGGAGTCAGTTTTATTCAAGGGCTAACCCTGAGAAGAGAGAGGGCCTATCATCCTGAAAACACCATCTGGGAACTAAGGTATATGAAAGGGCTTTGTAGGGAGGGAACAGAGGCTTAGTGAGACATTGGGCAGGAAGGCTAGTGCTGACAGGGTCTTAGTCATTCAGGCATGTCTCCTTGTTTTCTTTGATTGGTACATTGCCACTGACTTCAACCTCCTGGGCTAGTTCCTACAGTTGTTGGGGGGAGTGGTGGGGGAAGGCTGAAGATTTAACCTAGGGGCGCTCTACTACTGAGTCATACCTCCAGCCCTTTTTTTTGTTTTTGGGACAGGGCCTAGTTAAGATGCCACAGATGGCTTTGAATTTATAATCCTCCTGCCTCAGCCTCCTGAGTTGCTGGGATTATAGGCATGTGCCACCACACCTGCCTAGATTTTATAGGTATTTAGACAGACACTGATTGCATGCATTTTAATAGTACTATCAAGAATTTCTATAAATTTCAAGAACTTTTTTCCTAAAAAGATGAGAGGCACATGTCCTTGTAAATACATTGCTAATAGACAATAATATAATCATCGCTATTTCTGTCCTTTGCTAAAATGCTAATATGGCTTAACTAAACAGGCATGCATTGTTCTCAAGTAAAACCAGAATCAAAAAGAGCAAAGGAGCAAAAGCAATTCGATCT